CGGTGTCGCGCCTGCACCGCACTCAACCAGTGAGCAGACCGGTCTCTATATGGGATCCGAACCCTCCGCGGGAGCGCCACCGTGCTCCCAAGCACCGCACTCTACCGAGTTTGCCACTGGGCCGGCCAGTCCATTGGTCTTTTTAAAGTCCTTCAGTGGCGTTTTATAATTTTGTTCACAAAGTACACGTTTTCTGTCGCCTCAGGGCCGCTACGTGCCCCGCCCCGTCTGTGTCCGGCTCCGGCGCGGGCCGAGTCCGGCGCGCTGGCGTCGGTGACACCCGGGGCCGGGTCCAGGTCCCTGCCGGCCCGCCGGCCCTCCCACCCCCGAAATAGAGAAGTGAAGTGAAGTGGACGCGTCGCACTGGATGTTCGTACCTGACGGTTCTGCTCGACCTTCCAGCGTCGCTCTGTCTCCTCGACGTCGCGCGGTTCACTCCTCTCGGCCACCGTGACCTTGCCCGTTCCCCCGATGGACGTTCACGTTTCTTCCTGTACACAGGCATGTGGTGACATTCCCGTGCGTGTTAGCAGGAGTTTCTGCAGGGCCCGCACTTAGAATTCGGTCTCAGCTCCGTTCGGTGGTGCCAGAGCGGCGCCCAGACCCACCACCGGCTCACAGTCCTGGGCTCCGAGTCCCACGGTTCCCCGTGTCCTCAGCACTTGACGTTACGAAGCATGTTATGTTTTCCTCAATCTGTAGGGAGAGGTCTTGTTTTACTTTGCATTTCCCTAATTCTTAATGACATTGAAAATCTTTTCAGATGTTTATTGCACAGTTTGATTTCTTCATCCGTGATTTACCATGTCGTATCCTGTGTCCATTTTTTAAAAATTAAGTGGCCTTTTTCTTTTTAATATTTTTCAATATTCTGTATATCCTTTGTTACATATGTTTGCAAATGCCTTCTTTCACTCTGCAGCTTGTCTTTTAATTTTGTGGTGTCTTGTACAGAAGGCTTTTTTTCTTTTTCTTTTCTTTTCTTTTTTTTTTGATGGATGGAATCAAATTAAACAATCTTTTTCTTTATGGGTTAAAAAAAATTTAGTTCTTCAGCCCACCTGAAATATATATTTGTGTACTGTAGAAGACAGGGATCTAACTGCATTTTCCTAGAGAAAGCCAGTGTGCCAACACTATTTATTTATTTATTATTATTTTTTTTTAAAGATGACCGGTAAGGGGATCTCAACCCTTGGCTTGGTGTTGTCAGCACCACGCTCAGCCAGTGAGCAAACCGGCCATCCCTATATAGGATCCGAACCCATGGCCTTGGTGTTATCAGCACCGCACTCTACCGAGTGAGCCACGGGCCGGCCCACCAACACTATTTATTGAATAGTAAGTACGTCCTCGTTGTGGGGAGAGCATTGACATGTGCATGAGTCGCTTCCACTGTCGCTCCCGTGCTTACACCTCCTTTCCATTACCACAACCTAAGTCTTGATGTCTGGCAGGGCACAGCCCTGCCTCCCTCGGTTCTTTTTTGGTATCGCCTTGGTTAATATTGGATCATTATTCATTCATGTGACATGAAGTCATTGACAGAAGTCATATGTCCTTTCGAAATTTTTAGGGAGAATTGACATCTTTATGATATTGAGTCTTCCTATTTATAGATACTGCCTGTTTCTCCATTGGTCTTTTTTTTTCCTTTTTGTCTTTTTTTTTTTTTCTTGACCGGTAACGGGATCGCAACCCTCGGTGTCGCGCCTGCACCGCACTCAACCAGTGAGCAGACCGGTCTCTATATGGGATCCGAACCCTCCGCGGGAGCGCCACCGTGCTCCCAAGCACCGCACTCTACCGAGTTTGCCACTGGGCCGGCCAGTCCATTGGTCTTTTTAAAGTCCTTCAGTGGCGTTTTATAATTTTGTTCACAAAGTACACGTTTTTTGTTAGATTTTTTTACATACCATATACAAGAGTACTTCAAAACATTCGAGGAGAAATAGAATTCAAAGATAATACTAGTCTTTTCATGAACTTTTTGAAGTACCTTTGTTTTTGTAGCTGCTGTGAACATCGGTTTTTGTTTGCTGATTGCTCCTGCATAGGAGTGCTATTGCTTGGTCTATATTGACCTTGTATATGACGGTGCTGTTGAACTCTTTATTATCCCAACAGTGGATTGATACTCTTGGATTTTCTATGTAGTTATCATTCTCAAATAATGGAGACTTCGCCTTTTTTTCTTCTGATCTTTGTAGCTTGTATTTCCTTTTTCTGGCTTATTGCATTGGCTAGGATGTTGATTAGCAGCAGGGAGAGGGAACATCCCTGTCTTGTCATTTGACTCTTCTGCTGATGCTTCTGGTATGTCATCTTAGTGTTATGAACAGACTTGAGTGCAGGGAACCCGATGGTCCCTGGGCCACACTCTGAGAACAACTGCTGTGTGGTATCTAACTTTTTGTTCTTAATACTATTTCCTTTCCTGTCTCTTTTCCTTACCTTGATGGGACTTGCCATGCTTGTGTGTTATTAACATTTTCAAAGAACCAATATCAAGGTTGTTTTCTATTTCTTTCAATTGTGTTTTCTTTATTTTCTTTCCTTGAATTACTTTTTTTTTTTTTTTTTTGGCAGCTAGTGGGTACAGGTATCCAAATGGTCCACTTGTTTCTGAGGGATGTGTGTTAAAAAATCTCTCATTCCACCTTGGTTAGAGCAAGGTGTTATAACACCAAGGTTAAGGGTTTGGATCCCTGTACCAGCCAGGCCCCTACCCCCCCCCCCCCTCAATCTGTCATTCCACAGGAGGATTTGCCAGTTTCTCTTTGGTAGATAACATACATGTTTGTAACTATTTTCTTTTGGTGGATTTTTTCCTTTTATTAATATGTAGTGTCTGTTTTTGTTTCTATTAATGATTTTTGCTTTCAGTTCTGTTTTGATTGGTATAAATAGAGCTAAACCACGTTCAGCAGTGGGTGTGAAGCTCACAAACACCCCACTGAGGGGAAGAAGCCAGGCACAGAGGAGAATGGACTGATAATCTGCATGAAGTTCTACATAGGCACAGCCGATCTGTGCTGTTGGAAGTCAGGACAGAGGTTACCCTTTCAGAGGTTGGGGTTGGAAGTAGTGACAGCAGGGGCAGGAGGGCATCTGGGGGCAGGTCCCGCTCTTTCTTGTCCCTGGTGCTGGTTCTGTGGCGTGCGCACTTTGTGATTGTCCACTGAGCTGTGTACTTAGGATTTGTTGACTTTTCTATGTAAATACTGTATTTCAGTAAAAAGCTTTTGAGATTCGGAAAAGGTATATAGCTGCAACAGCTTTACTTTAAGTGGTGTTTGTCTTGTCTGTCTTTACTGTATTCAGCCTTTCTGTGTTATTTTATTTTTTTTGGTGGCTGGCCAGTACGGGGGTCTGAACCCTTGACCCCCTTGGGCCAAGCAGGTGCATCGTGTGTGTTTAATTGGAGAGTCTCCTGCATTCAGTAGGTGAGTTTAATCTTATTTCTTACCACCATTCATCTATTTAGGCTTCTTTCTACTAGTTTTGTGTTTTTATGTTCTCTGCATGGTGTTTCCATGCCTTCTATTGTTTTTTCAAAATCTTTTCATCCTCAACCCTTAACATTCTGTCCTTATTCCTCCACATAAAGTGAATGAGTGTTGTCCTCCTGAGCAAGTCACCTCAGTGTGCCAGCAAGGAGGACGAGGACCGACAGCCCGAGGGGTTGTTCACGTGGGCAGGGGGCAGAGTCTGCATGGGAGGCCAGTGGTGCCCACAGGGATGGGTGGGGACCCTGGCCAGCAAGGGGACAGGCAGGGCTGTTTACGGCACCACTGGCAGCCTGGGTTGTAGAAGACGGGCCAGGCGGGACCTCCATGTGTTCCTTTTCTTCCCTCAGCACCCGAGTGACAGGCTTCTGCTCACTGCCCCCAGGAATCCCAGGGCACAGGCAATGGCGGCCTCGTTCCCGTCTGCCCTGCCCCAGGTGAGTGTCTGTCCTCCTGGGAGGTGCGAGGTCTCCACCCAGGGCTTTCCTTGGCAAACTCTGTCAGGTTTCTCTGGTTTGGGGTGCTGACTTCAGAGGAGGGGTGACCCTGGGACCCCTACAGCGACGTGTCAGGACGCAGTAGCTGGCTCAGTGGTAAAAGGTTCGGTCATCGTGTACTGCTGTCCTCAGCATGCTTCAGCTGTCCTCCTCCCCGCCGGTGCCACCCTGGGCCACACCTGTGCTGCAGCAGGGCCCTGTTGTTCCAGGTCGAGGTGACCTTTGATGATGTTGCCGTGCTCCTCTCTCGGGAGGAGTGGGGCCGTCTGGGCCCTGCTCAGAGGGGCCTCTACAGAGACGTGATGCTGGAGACCTATGGGAACCTGGTCTCACTGGGTAAGGCCTTTGCTGGGAGTCAGCTCTGGGAACAGCCCCAGGGACTGAGGGTCAGCAGGGGCTGGGCTGGGGGCCTCACCCCCTGGGTCCAGAGAGGGTGATGCTGACTCTGGTTCCAGGAAGGCCTGGTCTGAGAAGAGCAGCGTACGGGCAGTGTGGGGACCCTTCTGAGTCAGCTCCTCCTTCCTCTGAGCTTTCAGAGGAGACAGGCCTCCTGCCCAGGCCCTGAGCTCGTGTTCCCTGTACTGAGACCTGCATGTTCATGACCACCCCCAGCCCAGTCTCAGTCCCTCAGGGTGTCTAGGCTTCCATCACTCCTCTGCCTCTCTCCCTCTCACCTGCTGCCCCACAGTGGCACTCGGTGCAGCTCTGCATCCTGGGTGCCAACCCCGGGCCCTGTCTCCTTCCCAGGAGCAGGACTTGCGGGTCCCAAGCCTGGGGTGATCTCGCAGCTGGAGCGAGGGGATGAGCCATGGGTCCTGGATGTGCAGGGCGCCAAGGGGAGAGAGCGTCTGAGAGTCAACGGCTCAGGTGCGTGGGGGGAGCTGCTCCCCTGACTCAGGTGCTGAACAAGCATCTGTTGGGGTCCAAGGTATCTGGGTTAATGACTCAGGAGTTTGGGGGAAGATGCATCAGGGGTGGCATGGGAGGCCCTGGGCACCTCGGTGGGGAGATTCGTGAGCAGAGTCTTCCAGGAACGTGGAGGGAAGGGAACAGTGCTTCGGAGGGGAATAGGAAGGGCATTCCAGGCAGAGCAGGTTTAGAGGGGTGTGTGGGTGCAGAATAGGGGTGCGATGAGGGGAGGCTGGGGCCTGTGGGACCTCACAGAGCCCTGCCCTCCAGAGCTCACACCCTGTGAGGAGGGTCAGACGAGGGCGGAGTGATGGAAACCATCGCTTCCTTCCCCTCCTCTAAATAACCCACGTGGAGATTACGGGCCTTTATGGGAGAGTGAGCAAATACACGTCACCTGAGTCTCACTGCTCAGACATGGCCGTGTTCTGGTGTACTGCCTGCTGTTTCTTTCTGGCACTGGCTTTTCCACACCCACATACTGACACTGCTTCCCAACAAGGGCGACGTGTGTGTTCTGCCGAAGGTATTTCTGCTTCTGTGCACATGAGTTGCAGTCATGCTTTCAGTGGAAGTGCCAGCCGCCGGGTTGTCTAGTTTCACTGCCATTGACAGCTCTGATGATCATCTTTTTGCATGTGTCTGATGATGTCCTAGGAAGCAACTGCTAGCTCAAAAGACAGAATTTTCCTTTTGTAAATTTGTTTACTTGAATATAAATACTTGTACAAATGGGACAAGCCCTAAATTTACAGATTGGTGAATTTTTATGAAAAACCATCCTCCAGATCAAAATGTAGAATGTTTCCAGCTGCCTGGGAGCACTCGGGCTTCTTCCCTCATATCCTGCTGCTCCCCACAGGGGCCTTCTTTCTGACTCTGTCACGAGGGCCGCTTTGCCCCTTTGGATTTGTGTCTGGACTCATGAGGGCATCTTTTGCTGAACATCATGAGAGTTGCTTGTGTTTCATGGAGCAGCAGTTCAGTCTGTTTTGCTGTTGTACAGCGTTCTGTTGTGTGAACACACCACAATTTATTCTCCCTTCTACTTGTGGAGGACACTCAGTTGTCCCCCGTTTGGGGTTGTTGTGCAGGAACTCCTGTGGACATTCTTGTGTGTGTAGAGTATGTTTCCGGTGGGTGTGTATCTGGGGTGGCGTTGTTGGAAAGTAGGATGTGCAGAGGTCACCTTTAGACTATGCTGCAGCACTGAGGGAGCTCTGTGGCTGCAGCCCTGGTGCGCACTGGTACCCAGCACCTGTGCATGTGCAGTGGAGGGGCCGGAGGGAGGGAGGACTGGGAAGGGAGCAGTGCTGAATGTGGCTGGCTCAAGATGCATGTGTCTGAGTCCAAATGTGCTGGACGCAGGGCTGAGTGCTTGATGGTCCATCTATTTACCTCCATGTCACTCTCATGGCAGTGCCATACAGTAGCAGCTGACATGAACCCTGTTTTTCAGATGGGGAAACCAAGGGTCAGAAAGGTAGGTAAGTTGCCTCAGGTCGCTGAGCTGGTAAGGGGGGGCCAGGACTGATCAATCCTCAGTGTGGCTGTTGGTGTCAGTTTCTGAAGGGCCTGAGGGGCCATGTGGTAGGGTCCCACTTGGGTGCTTGTCACTGTCCCCTGTTGGGGAGTGGCCATCCAGGAGGAGCTTGGCGTGCAAGTGTCAAATCAAGGAAGGAAGGAATGGAGGGTTGTAGGCATCAGGAGGCATTCTGTGGGGGAGTCTTGAGTTGAAGGAGCTTGTGGCTCACCCAGGTGGCTCCTCAGGCCTCAAGGGAGAGCCCTGGGAGTGGATGGGGACTGCTAGGGAGAGCCAAGGGGCTCTGGCCTGTGCGGGCTCCACTTTCCTCCTGCAGGGTTGGCATGAGCTTGGCCTTCTGCCCTATCAGGAAGGCAGCTGGTTTTCTTGCCATGGATTTTGGGGTGGCCTTACACTTGCTTGGACTTAGCTTCTTTGTCAGATGTCCTCTGTGACTTTTGGGGTCCCTCCTTGCTCTGGTTTCCATGGTGTGGTGAAGCCTCTGTGTTCTATCCTTTTGTCAGGAGTGAGGATGGGCTGTTCACAGCCCATTCAGGCAGGCGGGAGGGACCTGGGTTTAAATGCTTGCACAACCGCATGACTGTGTCCCTGGGGAGGCCCTTAAGCCTTGGAGCTCCAGGATCTCACCTCCGCAAGGCTGTTGTGACTTTGGAGATGATCACATTGTGCTCCCCAGGTGGTCAGCTCTGTCTCATTCCTTCCTCCAGAGTCAGAGTAGGTGATCCTCAGATGTTCTGTTTGTTGTTTCAGCTCATGGAACCAGGACTGAGTACAAGGAGTTGACCTCAGCAGAGACATTTGATGGGGAAGAACTGGACCAACTCAGGGGGACTTTTCCCCAGGCACCTGAGCCAGGACGAGCCCATGTCAGGGAGCCGGAGGGGAGCCTGGACAAGCCAGCGGGACAGACAGGCCCCAGGCCAGACACACTGAGTAACAAGGAGAGTGGCTGGGAGCCTGGCGAGAGCCTCAGCTTGGGGTCAAGCCCTGTCCCCGATCAGAGACCTCACAAATGCGATGTATGTGAGCAAAGTTTTGAACAGAGATCATACCTCAACAACCACAAGCGTGTGCACAGGTCCCAGAAAACAAGTGTAGTGCGTGATTCTGGGGAAGTCTTCAATGTAAACGTGGGTGTTAATGAAGATAAAAAAATTCCTACTGGGAAAAAGTTGCATTGCTGTGCTCACTGTGGGAAAACGTTCAGGTACAGTGCTAACCTTGTCAAGCACCAGCGGCTTCACAGTGAAGAGAAGCCCTACAAGTGTGCCGAGTGTGGGAAAGCCTTCAGTCAGAGCTGCGAGTTCATCAATCACCGAAGGATGCACTCGGGGGAGATCCCCTACCGGTGTGATGAGTGTGGGAAGACGTTCAATCGGAGGCCCAATCTCATGAAGCACCAAAGGATTCACACCGGGGAGAAGCCCTACAAGTGTGGCGAGTGCGGGAAACACTTTAGTGCCTACTCTTCCCTTATTTATCACCAGAGAATCCACACTGGAGAGAAACCCTATAAATGCAACCACTGTGGGAAGGCCTTCAGTGATGGCTCAATCCTCATCCGACACCGTCGGACTCACACTGGAGAGAAGCCATTTGTGTGTAAAGAATGTGGCAAAGGCTTTACCCAAAGTTCTAACCTTATCCAGCATCAGAGAATTCACACTGGAGAGAAACCCTATAAATGTAATGAATGTGAGAAAGCCTTCATCCAAAAAACCAAACTTGTTGAGCATCAGAGAAGCCACACTGGAGAGAAGCCCTATGAGTGTAATGACTGTGGCAAAGTTTTCAGCCAGAGCACACACCTTATCCAACATCAGAGGATTCACACAGGAGAGAAGCCCTACAAGTGCAGTGAGTGTGGGAAGGCCTTCCACAACAGTTCCAGGCTCATTCACCACCAAAGATCGCACCACGGGGAAAAGCCATACAAATGCAGTGATTGCAAGAAAGCGTTCAGCCAGAGCACTTACCTGGTTCAGCACCAGAGGATCCACACCGGAGAGAAGCCCTACAAGTGCAGCGAGTGTGGGAAGGCCTTCCGGCACAGCTCCAACATGTCTCAGCATCAGAGGATTCACCTCCGGGAAGACTTCTCCATGTGACTGCAGAGGAGGGTCCACGAGTGCTGAGTCCTGTTGTCCACTTCCACCACGTGCCCCAACCCTGCCCTGCCCTTATTTATTGTCCACACTGTTTTCACAGGGTTAAAGGGTATTTCTGTCTAATTAAAATCTTCTTAAATTAAAAGCAGTGCACGTTCATTTTAGAGAAATTGAGAGAAAAGAGCAAAAAGAAACTCCTATAATCTCCCCACTTAGAAAGAAAGAATTCATTGCTGCTGATTTAGTGTTTCCTTTCAGACACACTGGAGAGCATTTTAAAAAGGAAGATACTGTTACGTTTGTCTTTGCAGCACTTATGATCGTCACCTTTGCTATTTTCTCAGTATGAGAAAATTCATGCTGGAGAGAACTCCACTTATTGTCATATTTTTACATATTGTACATAAAAAATTAACATTATATCATTCATACTTTTCTACATTACTTAATAGAGTTGAAATTGCCTTTTTATTATGATAAAACATACATAATGTAAAATTTACAATTTTAACTGTTTTTAAGTGTACAACTCATTGGCATTAAGTACATTTACAGTGTTGTGTAACCATCACCACTATGTCCAGAACTGTTTTATTAGCTCAGACAGAAACTCTGTACCTGTTAAACAATGACTCCCCATTTTCCCCTTCTCCCTGCTGCTGGTAACCTCAATACTATTGTCTGTCTCTATGCATTTGCCTATTTTAGGCAACTCATGAGTGGAATCAAAATATGTGTCCTTTTGTGTCTGGCTTAGTTCATGTAGCATAATGTTTTTAAGTTTTGTCCAGGTTATGGCCTGTATCAGAACTCCATTTCTTTTTATGGTTGAATAATATTCCATTGTATGGATATACTATGTTTTGTTTATCTGTTCATCTGTTGAACACTTGGGGGTTTCCACCTTTTGATTATTGCAAGTAATGCTCGTATGAACATTGGCATACAAGTATGTGTTTGAGTCCTTACTGTAAGTACCTAGGAGTGAAATTGCTGGGTCATATGGTAATTATTTGCTTAACCTTTGAGGAATGGCCAAACTGTTTTCTATAGCAGCTCCACTATTTTAAATCACCACCAGTACACAAGGGTTCCAGTATTTCTACATCCTCACCAATGTTTGTTATTTTTTGCTTTTTTGATAATAGCCATCCAAATGGATGTGAAGTGGCGTCTCATTGCGGTTTTGATTTGCATTTCCCTGATGACTAATGATGTTGAGCACCTTTTCAGGTGCTTATTAACCATTTGTATATTTTCTTTGGAGAAATGTTTGTTCAAGTCCTTTCTCATTTTTGAATTTGGGTTCTTTGTTTTATGTTGTTGAGTTATAGGAGTTCTCTATATACAAGAGGTCTTTAAAAAGTTCATGGAAGGATTCATATTAATTCTATTTTTCCATAAACTTTCATAGGTACTTCAAAAAATTCATGGAATTAAAAGATAATATACACCCTTCCATGAACTTTTTGAAGACCTCTCGTGGTTTGGATATTAATCCCTTATCAGATAATATGATTTGCAAATATTTTCTTCCATTCTGTGGGTTCTTTTTACCCTCATGATAGTGTCCTTTAATGCACAAGAGTCACCTTTGATAAAGTTCAGTCTATTTTTCCTTTGTTGCCTGTGCTTTGGGTGTCATGTGCAAGAAATCATCGCTAAGTCCAAGGCCATGAAACTTTTCCGCTATGTCTTCTTCTAAGAGTTTTATAGTTTTAGGTCTTAAATTATGGTGTTTGATCTGATGTTGAGCTAATTTTTGTATATGGTGTAAGGTGAGGGTCCATCTTCATTCTTTTGCCTGTGGATATCCAGTTTTCCCAGCAATATTTGTCTCCATTCCCAACTGGATGCAGTATTATTCAGCTTGAACTGCCAAAACAAAACACCATGGACTGGGCAACTTAAGTGTGTTTCTCATAGCTCTGGAGGCTGGGACGTCCAAGATCAAGGTGCTGGCCTATTTGGTTCTCTTCTTGCCTTGCAAATGGCCCCCTTCTCACTGTATCTTCACATAGAAGAGAGAGATCTCTGGTGTCTCTGACTCTTATAAAGGCACCAGCCCTATTGGATTAGGGACCCGCCCTTATGACATTTAACCTTTATCACCTCCTCATAGGCCCTGTCTCCAAATACAGTCACATTGGGTTTTAGGGCTTTAACATATGAATTTTGGGGGAACACAGTCCATAACAAATGGTCTTGGCATCCTTTGTGGAAACCAATTGATCATATATGTGAGGGTTTATTTCTGGGCTCTCTATTATATCCCATTTTATATGTCTATCCTTAATGCCAGTACCACACAGTTTTGATATTGTACATTTGTAGTAAGTTTTGAAATCAGGAAATGTAAGTCTTCCAACTTTGTTCTTTTTGAAGATTGTTTTGGCTGTTTGAAGTCATCTGAGATTCCATATGAAGTTTAGTTTCTTTATCTGCAAAAAATACCATTGTGGGGCTGGCCCGGTGGCGCACTGCTACAGTGTGCCGCTTGGGAGTGCGGCGGCGCTCCCGCTAAAAAAAAAAAAAAAAAAAAAAAAAAAAAAAAAAAAAACCATTGTGATTTTGATAGGTTATACATGGAACCTGTAGCTCACTTTGGGTAGTAGTGTCACCTTAACAATGTAATATTGTCTCCCACTCACTGAACGCAGGTGTATTTCCACTTATTTATGTCTTTAGCTTCTTTCAGTGATCTTTTGTAGTTTTCAGTGTAAAAGTCTTTTGCTTCTTGGTAAAATTTATTCCTAAATATTTTATTCATTTTAATGCTTTTGTGAATGGAATTGTTTTCTTATTTTATTGTATTTTTTTATGTATTGAAATGCAACTGATTTTTGTGTCTTGATTTTGTATCCTGTGTCAACCACAGGGCAGGATGAGAAGGTAGGTACACAGGGGAGGTGTCGGTGCAGTGTCGGATGTGTGAGAGGCATTATGCCATGGCCCTGGGTGTCCCTGCACCTTCTTGCAGGTTATGCCAAGAATGCCAAGACCACTTTACCTGGGCCACTTCTCAGCTCATTTGTGCAGCCAGCAGTCTTGAGTGATGAGGTAATGTGTTCCTCAGGGACAAAGAGCAGGCTAGCTTACTGCTTGGTATAAAAGAGGTGTATTCCCCAAGCTCCACATTCTTCAGCTGTGTTGCAGGCCCACTGCAAGCCCAATATCCACTGGGGCCAAATTGCATCACCCTGTGGGACTTGGGGGCAAGAGGAACCCATGCAAATGTGCTGATGCTCAAGCTGCTTGCCATGCCATGAGCAGTAGGTCTTTTGTCTCTGACCTAGCAGTTTTGTCTTCTTCCAGCATCCATGAAACAGAGTAGGCTAGCTTATTAGCTTGCAAGTAGGGTAAAATCAAATCCCAGACCTGACAAAAAGCTGCTTGGCGGGATGACTGAGAACAGGCTGACCACTTCAGGAAAGCAGGGTTGTGCAGGGAAGGCAGCTGTGCTGGGCTACTGGCACAGTGCAGGCAGAATCAGTTTTGAATGAAAGTCTTCATGTTCCTCCATCAACTTAGCTGGTAGCTACTGTCCCCAGAGCCATCAGGGGCCCAACTGAAGAGCACCAGCAGGGGATTCACCTTCGTGAATCTCCTTGGGGTGGCCACCCCATCAGGGGTCAGGTTGCAGGCATGGCTTCAGTGACACAACCACAATGTGAAAGCTCCAAGAGTTTTTAGCACTTATAGACCCTGGGGAGAGTGTGGGGGTACACAGCATGCCTGGAGGCCACATACATTGGGCTCAGAGAGCGGGGGGGGGGGGATCAATGGGCCAACACCTTTGCTGTTTCCAGTGCATTATCCAAGCAGGTTTCATGCGGGAGCTTTAGTTGGTGGGTTTAAAGCAAGCAGGTACAAGTTTCGGAAGTTCATGCTGCGACTGAGAGGTGGTCCCTGTGACGTATCTGCATAGTCCATTCGGGGTGTGGGGTCAGTGGGGCCAGGTAAGCAGGCTGTATCTAGTGGTCCCATAGGGATGTGGTCATAGGAGAAGGATGTAAAGCAGGTGTCTGGATCGACCAAGTGAAGAAGTGGGAGAAGGTAGAACTGGAACTGTTGGGGTGACAGGCCTGCTTTTGGTGTGAGAAAGTCCAGCTATTTCCACAGTGGGTGCTGAGGCAGGTTGGATGGCAAGAATTGACTACAGAATTCCATTCCTTCTGCCAAGTCCTCAGCCCAGCTCTAGCTCAACCAATGGATTAAGGGCAGTGGTGAGAGTGTAAGAAGTCCTGAGTTGCCATGAACTGTGCACTGGTCTGGACATCCTGCAGTGATTTCATCTAATTCGCCCAGTAATTCAATGACATGGATGGCATTATCTTCTACAGATGAGAGCCCGAGGCTCAGGAAGGATACGTGACTTCACCGAGCTCATAGAGCGTTTGGAGGCAGCGCTGGGCTCTGACCTACTCGTGACCACCTGTGCAGAAAGGATTAACCTGACCCAAGAAAGGGCTGGCCTTTGCCCTCTTCTAGGTGGTTGGACTGTTGTGCCTAAGAGTGTCTTTGTTCACCAGATCATCTATGCTAACAACGTGATTTATGGCCATGTGGTATTAGCTTGACCTCTGGAGGGGCTGAAGACTAAGCCATGCAGTTGGCTAACCAGTCTATGTGACTGAACCCCAATAAAAACACTGGATGCAGAGGCTCAGGTGAGCATCCCTCCCTCGTTGGCAGTACTCTGTGCAATCATCATGCAGCAGTGCCATAACCATGTCCGCTTTCAATGTGACTTCTTATAGCAAATTATTAAACCTGGGGTGATCTTGGGAACCCCTGAACTTGCAAGTGGTACCAGCAGTGAGAGCAGTCCTGGGGACTGAACTTCACATCACCTCACTTAAGTTTCTCAGCTTGGGAACTTACAAGCATAAAACCAAAAGTGCTCCCAAGATTCACCCAGATGGGCAAGCACAGACTCCCAGCATGCTGCTCTCCTGCTACCCCCAAAGGTTTCCCTCAGTCCCAGGGCAGATCCAACTCCTAGACAAGATCCTTCTGGCCTCTGCCACCAGCCCCTCTGTATACTGAGTGACCGCTGGTGGCCTGAGCTTGCCCAGCCTGTCTGCTAGAAGTGCCACTCTCTCCCTTGGGCCTGTCCAGCATCTGCCACACTCTCATCTTCCTCCAGAGAAGGGATGGGTCACACCAGCACATCCTCACACTTGATACAGGCTGGGCACAGCATAAGCCACTTTGTGGCCCAGAGAAATTCCAGAGAAAAATTATATATAGCCATTAGATTTCTCCTCTTTTTTTGGTAGCTGGCTGGTATGGGGATCCAAACCCTTGACTTTGTTGTTGTGACACCATACTCTAACCAGCCAGCCCCAGACTTCTACTTTTGTTTAATAAAGTTTGCATGTTATGTAGGCAAAAAGGATTGTATTAATTGATAATGTCATCAGCAATGCATGAAGGCACCCATTTTCCCACACCTGCACAGCCCTAGGAGTTACAGGATTATCTTTACTGATTAGGAGGAAGTGTCATGTTTTCGTTTTGGAATTCACATATTTCAGCCATTTCCAAGCTTCCATGTTTGCATTTTCCCATATTGGGAGTTGCCCGCTCATGTCCTATGGCCACTGATTTGTAGGAGATCTTTATGTCAAAGTTATTGATTTCCCTTGACCCCAAATACTTGTTCCAGTCACTGCTATTTTATTGGAAAATATCAGACTATACACAGTACACAGAAATAAATTCCAGGTGGACTAAAATGTTTTCAAAAATAATAGAAAACCTTGAAGAGAATTAAGCATCAAATTATTGGTAGCCATTAGGAGAAATAATGTAAAGATTTAAATATATAAAATGTAAATACTTCTGAATAAAAATTAAAAATCCAAAATAAGTGGAATGCTCCTGACAGGTGAGAGCTAGGAGGTAAGGGCTGAGAAGGCTGTTATTAGCATGAAGGGGACCCTGAAGGTCATTTTAGCCTCTGATGTCATGTACCAAAAAGGCAAACTGCCCGGTGTTGCAGTAGGTCATGTGTTGCCTCCTGCTGCTTGGAGAGGAGGTGAGTGGCAAGAATGCACAGCTGGGACTCCTGCTGGGGACAGGGGTGCTGCAGCTGCTGCCCGGCTCCACAGACACCGAGCTGGACGCTCACCAATGGATCAGCAAGAATAGGCAGAATGATATTAAGCACACTGTGTTGAAGGCAGGAAGGCAAACTATACATTATGGTAATATTTCCCTGAAAATGCTACGTTATTGGAAGATTTGGCAATCCAGAATAACTTGGGGCCGGCCCGTGGCTCACCTTGGAGAGCGTGGTGTTGACAACACCAAGTCAAGGGTTAAGATCCCCTTACCAGTGATCTTAAAAAACAAACTTTGTACTTCAAAAAGTTCCTGGAAAAATAGAATTGAAGGTTAATACAAATCTTTCCGTGAACTTTTTGAAGCACCATCATACGTAGTCTTTCTAAACAAATACTCCTGTGTATTGAATTTAATTGAACTCTTATTCTCATGTCGATTGGAACATGACTTCGTCTCTAATTCTGCCACATGATTAGAAATTGTGGCCTGAGTGGCAGTGGGCTCTGAGCAGCAGCCACGGAGTCAGATGCCAACTGTGGACTCAACAGCACAGGTTGGTAGCTTGCTTTTGTGGGGACTTTATGAGATAATAATGCACTGGTTTGATTTCCCCTCTGAAGTAATGTCCCAGCCCCCTCAGCTTCCTGGACTTTCACCTCAGTGGTCTCAAATTCTCTGATGTAACACCTTAGTGACCTCAGCCCCTTCTGAGGTCACGACTCAGTGTTATCAATTCAGCGGCCTCTGCTCCATGCTGAAGTGACATCCCAGTGATCACAGCTCCTCTCTGCAGTAACCTCTGTCTAACGCATCACACTCGGCGATGACAACCTCTCTGAAGAATGACCTCAGTGACCTCAGCCATTTCTGGAGGAAGACCGGTGTCATCTCAGCTCCAGTGAGGTGCCTCCTCAGTCATCTTATCTCCTCTATAAAGTAGCACCTTAGTGATCTCGCTGGGTCCTGGCTGTGCTGTGTTCATTCTGTGTTCACTGTGCAGAGGCGGCTGCCTGGGCCTGCTGGCTGGAGCCCCTTTTTGGCCATGCCTGGCTCCTCCCCACTGCTGGGGAGGGTGCAGGGACGGCCAGCCCCAAAGAACGAGGAACCCGGAGCAGGCACTGGAGCCCACAGCCCTTGGGGCCTTGGTGCCCTGGCTGCACCCATGATGCAGGTCCCAACCCTCCAACCCTGCTGACTGCACCTGGCGCCAGCTATGTCTGTTTTCATTTTTCAAGAAACAATTCAAATAGTTGCTTGGATTTTGAAATTTACTTTGACAGTGTAGGAACTATGTTGGGATCCTGTTTCATTTTTACACCAACTTGGTAAAAATACTCTTGATGCACCAGCCTCCCCAAGACTCCCTGCAGTTAAACTATATGTGAGCTCTGGGGGAAAAACAACATAGTGATTTCACCTCCCTGATGAAATGACACTCCAGTGGCCTCCATTCCTCTGGGGTTTCACATCAGTCATTTCAGTTCCTCTGAAGAAACACCAAAGTGATCTAACTTCTCCAAAGCAGCACCTCAGTGAGCCCAGCTCCTCTGTAGTGCGCAGCAGTGATGTTGGTTTCCTTCAGAAGTAACACCCAGTGACCTCATCTCCTCTCTGATGTGACACCTCAGCATACCCAGGTTGTCTCTGAAGTAACACCACAGTTACCTCATGTTCTTTCTCAACACCTCAGAAGCATAGGCTTCTCCTCAGAGGGGACCCACTTGCGGTCCGTCTGGTGGAGAGGTGGCTGAAGGTCTTCCCGCACCCACTGCACTCGGAGGGCTTCTCCCCAGTGTGCACGTTGTGGTGCTGAAGGAGGACCGAGTGGTCACAGTGATCTCAGCTCTTCTCCAAAGTGACACTTAGTGGTCTTGTCTTCTCTGAAGTTAACACCTCAGTTATCTCAGATGTTTGAAATTTCACTTCAGTGATTTGTCTTTTGGAAGTGACACCTCAGTGATGTTACTTCCACTGGAGTTTCAGTTCAGTCATTTCAGCTGCTCAGCTGTAAATCAGCAGTGATCTCAGCTCCTTTCTCCAGTTGATACACAGGTGGCCAGTTCCCCTCTGAAGTCAAGACCTCAGTGTCATCACCTCCTGTATTAGTCCATTTCTGTTACTTATAACAAAATAACCTGGAACTGGGTGATTTATAAAGAAAACAAAATTTATTGCTTACAGTTTCTGAGGCTGGGAAGTGCAAAGTCCAGGGAAGACATCTGGTGAGGGTCTTCTTCAGTGGTGGCTTTACAGCAATGTGGGGGTCTCACACGGCAGAAAATGGTGGAGCAGAGAAAGACTCTCATGTGCTCTCTTCTTTTAAAGCCCTCAGAACCAGTCCCTGACCACCATTGTTAACCCATTCACTCCTGCAGGGTCCTCACAATCCAATCACTTCTTCAAGGCCCCAACTTTTAATTACCATAATAGGATTTCCCACCCTCGGCAGTTACAGTGGTTAATCATCCAACGTATGAACTTTGGGGGACACAGTTCAATCAATCCACAGCAGCTCCTCTCACCAGGGTCTGCATACACAGCAGAGAACAAGCTTTAGTCTGTTTCATGGTGTGTTGCTGTGACTGAAGGATCAATGCCCTAACGCCTATTTTCCCCAAGGAGCTGATAAATGTTGAGAGAGAAAGAACCGTTCTCCATCAGGCACTTAACACAGTTAGGATTTGAAGTGGCTTGAGTCTCATACGTTTGTTTCCTCTGCAGCTGGCTGCTACTAGAAATGGCTCTGATAAAACTTAAATACTTATTTACATACTGATTACCACATTCATTGCATCATTTTGTTTTAGCCTATATTTGAATTATTTATTCCATTTACTTCGTTTTCATATCGTCTTCATTTTATATTTTGTTGTTACTCTGTTATATTTGAAGGCCATCAAATTAGAATTCATTGTGCAGAAGAAACTGATTTGGTACTTAAAAAAAAAAGATTTCTTACTGTACAAAGGTAATTGGAAAGTTTTTCCTTTTGTCTCATTTAAGGAAGTTAGCTTTCTGGACCTTAGCCTTTAATTTTCTTGATCAATCCAACTATATCATGATAGAGTTAGAATTTCTGTAAAAGAAGAAACATTAAGAGTTCCTGAAGTTTACCTGGTATATGGATAGGCTTATATTCAAAACATCTGAGTCACATAGCTGTAACTTCAAAGCGGGATCACTAAGTAGTTTTCGCTGAATTTGTAATATGACCGCAGCTGGGTATCAAACAGAAGACAAATGCTGTTCAAGGAAAGAAGAAACTGACAAGCTTAAGGTTAAAAAAAAAAAAAATTACTTTTCATTTTTCCAAAAAAAAAAAAAAAAGCAACCCTCAAATACAGGAATGGAAATATTAAGTCAAGAAGCTCTACCTGAATTTGAGAATTTTATGTCTTGAAAATATGCACCAAACAACTTTTTCATAATTTTTTTTGAAACACCATAAGGTGTAAAGAGGCACCCACTTGGTATAGCAGCTCTGAGGTCTGCTCTGAGTGTGGATCTTCCCTCCTATGCCTGTGTGGGACCTACAGGTCCAAGACATCCCACAGTCTTTGGGGCACAGGTCCTGCAGGTCATAAGAACAGGTTTTAAGGACAATACCCATCTCTGAGCTGAATTTTTACTAAAGAGTTAGGACATCCCTTTTGATCTTGAATAAAGTTAAACCACCAGATAAAGAATTTTCTAAATATACATCATTTCTCACTAATGTATCTTTAGACTTTCTTCCTTTTTTTTTCATACAAAACAGGTGTTTCCACACATGAGATTTCCAGCCATTTTACATGATGAGGCTTAATGACAATCGTTTTTTTGTATCACTTTATCCACACAGCACTTCAGTGTTTTAACAGAATACTGAAAATAGTCCAACGTTCTAAGTGCAATAATTAGAATGGTCAATTGTATTTAGGAAAGGCAAGTAATGTTCTAAGAAAATGAACTTTATTTGGAATGTAACAAAGTTTTATAGGGACAATAGTCCTTATGCCTTTTGCTCACTTCAAATAAGCTAATGTTAATGAAAGAAAGAATTATAGCTGTCTTAACCAAAATTCACAATTGTATGACTACTCTCTAATACAACTGCAAGATGTCAAGGAACATAAATCAGGCATTCTCTGAAGTTTTTGCACAGGAAGAACACGCCCAGTGCTTCTCTTTGGAGTTATTCTGTGACACTGAACCACCAAATAAGGGCTTCCTGTACAACTGACAAAAGCATCTCCTGGGCTGAAGGCTGCCTGTGGTCCCATGTGCAGAGTTTCTGTGAGTATGGATTCTCATGGAGACCGCAGGTCACAACTTCCTGTGTACTTTCTGGTGCTGGATCAGGTGCCCATGCTGGTTGAAGGCACGCCCACACTCCCCACACTCATAGGGCTTCTCGCCCGTGTGGATCCGCTGGTGCTGGATGAGCACTGAATACTGGCTGAAGGCCTTCCCGCAGCTGTTGCACTCGTAGGGCTTCTCGCCCGTGTGGGTCCTTAGGTGCACAATCAGAGTCGCTTTCAGGCTGAACGCTTTGCCACACTCCGTGCACTGGAAGGGCTTCTCACCTGTGTGGATTCTCTCATGTTGGATCAGGGACCGGCGTGCGCTGAAAGCATGCCCACACTCGCCGCACACATATGGCTTCTCCCCAGTGTGGACCCTCTGGTGCTGGATCAGGTGTGAGTGCTGAACGAAGGCCTTTCCACACTCGTAGCATGCATAGGGCTTCTCCTCAGTGTGGATCCGCTCATGGTTCATCAGGGTGGAACGGTGGCTGAAGGTCTTCCCGCACTCGCTGCACTCGTAGGGCTTCTCCCCAGTATGCACGTTGTGGTGCTGAATGAGGACTGAGCGATCACTGAAGGCCTTCCCACACTCGCTGCAAGCATAGGGCTTCTCCCCAGTGTGGATTCTCTGGTGCTGTAGTAGCGTCCTCTTCACACTGAAGGTTTTCCCACACTCACTGCACCCGTGAGGCTTTTCCCCAGTGTGCACCCTCTGGTGGCTCCGCAGGACGGTGCTGTGGTTGAAGGCTTTCCCACACAATGGACACACGTATGGCCTCTCTCCTGTGTGGATCCGCTGGTGCTGAATGAGATGCGAGAGCTGAGTGAAGGCTTTCCGACACTCCAGGCATTCATGAGGCTTCTCTCCTGTGTGTATCTTGTGATGCTGTGCAAGATCCGAGCTCACTCTAAAGGCTTTTCCACACTCATTACACTCGTAGGGCTTCTCGCCCGTGTGGATCCTCCTATGTTTACTAAGGACTGAGCTCTGGCTGAAGGCCTTCCCACATACACCACACACGTAGGGCTTCTCTCCAGTGTGGATTCGCTGATGCTGAAGGAGATGGGAGCTCCTACCAAAGCACTTCCCACACTCGATGCACATGTAAGGTCTCTGTCCGCTGGGAACCGCTTGGTGTTGAGTGAGTGGCACACTCTGGCTCAAGACCTGAACCTCCTGGTGGCCAACAGTGTTTGGACTCATACAGAAGCTTGGCTTTGTTTCATTATTTTCTTGATCAGTCATCCCCAAGGGTGTTTCCCCTAGAATCACTGTTATTTTCTCTGAAATCAATGGCTTCAGACTGAAGTGTGTATTTTGGTTCTCTCCCTTGGTTTCACATTCTGAAACAACAAATCCAAAATGAAAACATTAACATTACTTAAAATACTGCAGAGCAAGTGCACCCCTGAGACCGGCTTTGCTGATGAAGGTGCAGTCTCTGAATACATTTGGCTGTGAGCTGCAGAGAAACGGAACTCCACAACTGGGTCAAACAACTAGAAATCAGAAGAAACATTTCCAAGTAGGAACATGCCACGGCTGGCAGCAAGGTTTAAGAGAAAGGTGTAAACTGTAGTCTGAGGTCACACCCCTGTGTGGAGCACACACAAGGAACATGGCAGTGGAGAAACAGCCTGGTGCTGCCTGTGCTGTGCCCTGCCCTCCCGGGAATCCTCCTGTGGACTGAGCTTCCAAAGGCCACGTGGGGCAGGCACAAATGCAGGCCCATGGAACCCACAGGGCAGACAGCAAGCAGCACAGGCTGGTGGGGAAAGGTGTGAACTTGTGAGAACAGGTAGGGCGTGTCATCCTGGAGCCAAAAGGCTTGTACGTGGGAGGTGGTGCTGCAACCTCTTTGTGGAAAATAACTTCATGTGGAGAAGGCACTGGGTTGGGGTGGGGGACCTGGAGATGCAGAGGAACATGACAGGGATCTGCCAGGCCTAGTCCAGAGATGAGGCCTACAGGGGTGGCTGTGTGGATGGGTGGAAAGGCTGGGGTGGAGACGCTTCTCTTCAAGTCAAGGGCTGTCAGCTGACTGTGCGAGTGGGGAGGCAGGGGGTGCTGAGAAGACAAGCTGCCACTCAAATCAAGACTTGAGGTGGGAACAGGTGCTGTGTTGGGAGGACGGCTGTGGTCAGGCAGCTCAGTCTGCTGACCTGCCCCACCTCAGGGCAGAGCAAGGGGCGAACTCTGCAGGGAAGCAGGACATGCGCTAGGCCCTCCGGGGTGCTCCTGTGGCACAAATGACAGCCAGGCCTCCCAGGGCCAAAGTGTTCAGTCTCAGCACTGGGGCTTCTGATGCCAGCCCCGCCCTGATGCTTTGCCACTGTCTCCTAAAGGCCTCTGCTGGGGACTGCTCTGAATGCACAAGAAGCCCCACAGCACAAAAACAATCTGAGAAGCCAATTCTCACTTTTCTCTTGTTGAAGGACACTCCCGGGGTCTGCAGCAGGTGCCAGTAGGGTCAGCAACCCCTGGGGGAAGAGCGTGGATTTGGTGAACTGTGACCCAGAGATGCCAAGAGCTCACGGCTGGGACAGTACCAAAGTGCATGTGTTTGGTAACAGCTATAATGAGATATAAGCTTTAGGGCTGGCCCCGTGGCTCACTCGGGAGAGTGTGGTGCTGATAACACCAAGGCCATGGGTTTGGGTCCCTATATAGGGATGGCCGGTTAGCTCACTTGGGAGAGCGTGGTGCTGACAACACCAGGTCAAGGGTTAAGATCCCCCTTACCGGTCATCTTTAAAGAAAAAAAAAAAGAGATATAAGCTTTAATTCTTAACTGGTTGAGAACATGGCTTGGGAAGACAGGCACTGTCTAATGTGCCTCCTAAAACCCAAACAAGAAAACTTGAAAAATAAGAGACTCTGAATCTAAAAGGTCCATCCATAATACCAAGGGACCTTCTAAGATAGGCACGAACATCCATGAAGTGTTTTATGACTGAGGTGTCTCGAGAAAGATTTGAGCAAAGGTGGCAAGTATATAAAACATGTGCTTGATTTCATGTGTGATGTCTTTTTTTTTTTTTTAAAGATGACCGGTAAGGGGATCTTAACCCTTGACTTGGTGTTGTCATCACCACGCTCAGCCAGTGAGCAAATCGGCCATCCCTATATGGGATCCAAACCCGGGGCCTTGGTGTTATCAGCACCGCACTCTACCGAGTGAGCCACGGGCCGGCCCAGTGTGATGTCTTTTGACATCTGAGGAATAGTTACCTCGGAGAGACTAATGCATACCACATGCTACATTTCCTGCAAAAGAGGTTAAGTGTGGGGGTAGAGAGACTCCCTCAAGGATACCCCCCCAAAATAACACTGAGGGTGAGGGGTCCCATGGTAGTGGTGCCGAGGCCGGGTCCCTTTCCAGGCCTGATTAACCTGCTCCACCATAACCACCCTGAGCTTCCGGGGCCCTCTCAACATGTAGACACCAGACTGTTCTTCAGGGGCCCGTGGGTCCTCTGCCAGAACCTCTCTTTCTGGAAGGAACTCAGCTCTTCCCTCCTCCTGTGGCCAGTGAGCCTTCAGAATTTGTGTCTCTCTTCTGATTCCTTATCTTTCTCTTTTCCCACACCAGTGTCCAAGCCCTTGTTCCTGTCACCAGGCCCACAGCACACTGTTGTCAATCCTGACATTACCTGGTCACTCACAGGCACTGGATGGCCCTTCACCACGACCAACAGAGGCACACAACCCCCAGCCTGGCATGCAAAGCCATGTGGCGGAACCAGCCAGTCCAGCTGCATATCCTGTATCTCTTTTATTATTAATATCTTCAGTACCCCACAAATATACATAATTATGCTTTAATAAAAACAACTACAACAAAAAGAAAGTAAAATAACTAAAAACCAAAACAAACAAACAAACAAAAAACAATGAAGAGAATTCACAACCACCAAATCTGCACTACAAGTAATGTTAAAGGGTGTTCTTCAGATGGGAGAAATATGATACTTGACAGAAACTTGCATTTACACAAAGAAATGAAGATCTTTGGAAATGGTTAAAATGGTAACCATTTTAAATATAGCAAAATATAAAAGACTATGGAAAAATGTTCTACATTACTCTACAAGATAATTGTCTAAAGTAAAAATAGCAGTAATGTATTTATTGTGAGTTTACAGCATATGCAAGAGAAAAATATGACATATCATGGAATCTGGGGTAGAGGGATAGGGAGGTTAAGATCTAAATGCCTGTGTTCCACCACGCCACCACCCCCAGATCATATGCTGAAGCCCTAACCCAGCATGATGGTATTTGGAGATGGGGACTTTGGGAGGTAATTAGGATTAGATGAGGTCTCAGTGCTCTCAAAAGAGACAACAGAGAGTTTGTTTTCTCCTCCCCCTCCACATGTGTACAAAGAGGTCATGTGAGCATGTAGCAAGAAAGTGGCTCTCTGCGAGCCAGGAAGAGAGCCCTGACCAGAAAGGCTAAATTGGCCAGCACCTTTATCTTGGACTTCCCAGCCTCAAGAACTGTGAGAAACAAATTTCTCATGTTTAGGCCACCCAGTCTGTGGTATTTTGTTACGGCAGCCTGAGCAGACTAAGACACGAGTATACTGTTGGAAGATTCTTACACTACATATAAAGTGGTAATACTATCTGAAGGTAGACTACAGTTAGAGACATATATTGTAAGCCCTTACAGTAGCCACTAAATGCTCTTAAAAAAAAAAGAGGTATATGGTGCCAAGAACATCAAGGTCCAGGGTCCCATCACTGTACAGGCCAACTGCCAAAAACAAACAAACAAACATAAAGAGAGGCACAAATGACAAGCCAATAGCAAACACAAAAGTACTCAATAATCATAAAAGTACTCAATCCAAACACAGGCAGAAAAGTAGGACGAGAAACAAAAAGGAGATGAAACCACCAGAAAATCAGCCAGAAGACAGGTTCTAATTCAATGGTATCAATAATTATATTCACTATAAATGGCCTAATCACATACTAAAATTTCAGTCAAAGAGAGCTTTGATTCATTACTTTCTACATCCCACTGGAGTTGGACTTAAGCCTTACAGATTTACTACATCTAGAACTAGAGGATTCCAAATGGCAGGTTTTAAAGTTTGACAGCAGAAGCTGCAAGGTAACAGGTGCTGGGACAACGAGCTCATAGTCTCCCTGAGCCGTGTCGAAAAACATGCTCCTAGATAACGGTGGTTACAACAATGGCAGCAGTCTTCTGTCCTTATCAGTGTCCACAGGACACTGTACTGATCATGTTTTCTATACCTTATTGCCAAACCTGACAATACTCCTGTAAGGAACATGTTATTAACTCTGTTTTGGAGAAGAGATGGGGGCTGATAGGCTCAGTAACAGGGCTGAGGCTGGAGCAGGCATTTGGACCACGTCCACAGAGCTCCAAACCCATCTTCAGCCATCACATTTCAAGGCAGGAAAACTATCCTCCTGCAACTTGCAGGTAAAGCAGGCCACGACAAATCTATAGCAACAGCTTTAAAGTTAAAATGTGCTTTCACAATGGCTGGCACAGGATCTGTGGGAGCTGGGAGAGCCCATGTACACAACGCTTGCTGTAGCCTGTTTCCACTCCCAATCTCATGCCTGCCTGTCTCTTTCTCCACCAGCTGCTGGATCTTCTAGGTCTGAACTGGGTCATCTTCCTCACTGCCTTCAACCCTTGTGGCTCACCCTTCACCCAGCCTGACCATCACCGAACTCTCACATCCTCCAATTCTACTTGCGAACACTGCACCCATCCTTCAAGGCATACTGCAAACGCCATCTCTTCACACGGTCCTCTCGCAGACTCGTGGGGCAGCTTCTTTGTAACCCCAGAATATTTTGCTGGTACTATTTTTATGGCATTTTGGCTTTAAGTCAGTAGGTATGAATAACTACTTTCAAAATACATATAAGGGGCCAGCCCGGTGGCGCACTCGGTAGACTGCGGTGCTTGGGAGTGTGGCGGCGCTCCCGCCGAGGGTTCGGATCCCATATAGAGACCAGTCCGCTCACTGGTTGAGCGCTGTGCGGGCGCGACACCGAGGGTTGCGATCCCGTTACCAGTCACGAAAAAAGACAAAAAGGAAAAAAAAAACCATATAAGATATAAGGGATATGGAAACAACCCAAACGTCTACCAACTGATGAATGGATAAATAAAATGTGAAGTCATAAAATGGAACATTATCAGGTGATTAAAAGGACTGAAGTATTGATAAATGCTACAACTTGAATCAACCTTGAAAACAGCAAGCTAAGTGAGAGAAGCCAGTCACAAAAGGCCACATATTGTTTAATTTTATTTATATAAAATCTCCAGAATAAGTAAATCTATA